ACGACGGCGGCGGCGACGGCGACGACGCCGACGGCGGCAAGCGGCGGCGGCGGCGGTGAGGGTGACCGCCGCCGCCGTCACCGCCGTCGTCGTCGCCGCCGATGCCGCCGTCGCCGTCGCCGCCGCCGCCGCCGTGGCCGCAGCCAGTTGCCGAAAGCTTCAGCAGCGCTTGGGGCCCACTTGCTGGATACACATGCGGGGGGGCTGGCGTGACCAGCCGCGCGAGGTAGGAGGGCCGAGCGCTGGAAGGACATGCGGCCACATCGGCGTGCAGGTCTCGCCCAGTCCAGCCCCTTGCACCAGCACAGGGATAATGGAGGGAGGACAGTGGTAGTAGTCATAATGATATTGTGAGAGTGCACCGGCTGGTTGCGCCATGGCTTGCCCGATGCGTTACACCACACGTTGTGCTTGCGTACAATTACCTGCGCCATAGGTTGAGCCGTAAGCTGCGCCATAGGATGCGCCCCCAGGGCGCGCCATGGCTTGCGCCATAGGTTGCGCACCCAGGGCGCCCCACAAATCGCGCCTTACGTTGCGCCTTAGGTTGGCCCTCAGGGCGTGCCATAGGTTGCGTCGATGGTTGCGCCACAGGTTGCGCCAAAGGCGGGGCCACTTTGTGGCGCTGCGTTTCAACGGAACTCCTGGTGCGCGCACTGTTCGGGGAAACGTCGTGCTGGCAGGCGGGCGTCGGGACTCCGGGTGCAGCCCGCAGGATAATGACAACGGACGCGGCAGGAATGCAGGAGAGGAAGTAGAGAGTAGGTGAAAGGAGGATCGGAGAAGGATGATCGGAGGAGGACGCTCGGAGGGACCAGAGGAAGATGATCCCCCTCCTCCTCCGATCCCCCTCCGATCCTCCATCCTCCTCCTCCTCCTCTTCTGCCCCCTCCTCCTCCTCATGCCCCTCCTCCGATCCCCCATCACCTCCTCCTCCTCCGATCCTGTTCCAACCCTCCTCGTCCTCCTCGTCCTCCTCCCCCTCCTCCTCCTCCTCCTCCTCCTCCTCCCTCTGCCTCGCTCCCCCCTCCCCCCAGGAGGGGAGAGGAGGTGGAGGGCACGAGCACTGGAGGGAGTGCAGAAGCAAGGCAAAGGAGGTGGAGGGGCCAGGCCGGAACCCGTTGAAAGGTTCGCGCCGAGGGATGCGAACCTCGAACCTCGAGGATCGAGGCATCCTGGCCCTCGAAGGCCTTCGTCGTCGCCGCGGCTGGACGCGGCTCGGGAAACTGGTGCGTCTGAGCCCCAGTCGGGCCCCGTGGACCCATTTTGAGTTTGCGCCGAGGTTCGAACCTCGAACCTCGAACCTGAGCACACATGTGAGCGTCACAGCATTCCTGCCTGGACGGAAGGGGGGTCCGCACCCCCGTCCCCGTACGCTCGTTACCCTTACGGGAGGGGGGGGGGCCCCCCCGTAACGGGCGTTACGGGTCCGAGCAATAACAAAAACAAGCTCGCGGGGCGTTCGCTTCCATCGCTGCGCATTCCATCGGGGGCGTACTTAAAGCCAAAAGCCAAATGAACAACACTTTGGTAAAACTAAGTTCCAGGGCATGGACCCCTGCTGCTGTCCTTCAAGGGAGCATGAAATGAGGAGGTCATGAGAAAGGAGAAGGCGAAGGACAAGGAGACGGGGAAAAAGAAGGAGAAGTAGTCGCCCGGACGGGCAGGGCATTATCTACTGCTGTTCCTACTACAACTTTTCTTCGATGACGACTACTACTACTACTACTACTACTACTACTACTACTACTACTGCTGCTGCTGCTGCTGCTGTTACTACTACTACTACTACTACTACTACTACTACTACTATTATTACTGCTACTACTACTCAAGAACATAAAAGTACTAATAGTTCAACTAAGACTACGACTAAGACGACGACAACTACTACTACTACTACTACTACTACGACTACTACGACTACTACGGCAACCACTATCACTACTACTGCTACTACTACTACTACTAGTACCACTAATACTACTACTACTACTACTACTACTACTACTACTACTACTACTACTACTACTACTACTACTACTACTACTACTACTACTACTACTACTACTACTCTACTACTACTACTGCAACGACGACGACGACGACGACGACGACGACGACGACTACTACTACTACTACTACTACTATCTGCTACTGTAACTGGTACTGTGACTACTGTAACTGCTACTGCTACTTTGCTACGACAACAATTGCGATTACTACGGCTACGACCTTCGTGGGCCCAGGAAACGGCAGGGCTGTTTGTTCACCGTTTCCAAAAAATGTCCCTTGAAAAGGAGACGGCAAAAAAAGGCGACCGGAAACGGCAAAAAAACGGCTCCAAGATTGGAACTGGAACCGGAACCGGTCAAAAAACGGCGACGGAACCGGTAACAAAAACAGCGTCGGAACCAACAACAAAAACGACAAAACGGAACCGAAAAAAAAACGGCCGTCGTTTCCAGGGCCCAATAAAACTACGACCACAACAAATTCCATTACTGCTATTTCTACTTCTGTTATTATTACTACTTCTACTACTACGACGACTACTACATCTCGGACTACTACTCGGACTAGTCCTCCTACTACGTCCTCCGACGTCCTGCTGGCGACCTGCAGCGACATACCACGGCTACTACGGCTACTATTACTACTACTACGACTACTACGACTACTGCTAGTTCTACTACTACGACTACTACGACCACTGCTACTACTACAACTAATGCTACGACTCTTATGTCTACTACTACTTTGACGACGACGACGACGACGACGACGACGACGACTACTACTACTACTACTACTACGACTCCTGCTACTTCTACTACTACCAATATTATTACTGCTACTACTACTACGACGATAACGACGACGACGACGACAACTACTACTACTACTACTACTACCTACCTACCTACCTACCTACCTACCTACCTGCCTACCTACCTACCTACCTACCTAAACTACCTACTACTACTACCACTACTACTACTACTACTACTACTACTACTACTACTACTACTATTACTACTACTAGTACTAGTACTACTACGATTATTCAAATTCCAGCTACTACGACTACTCCTACTACGACGACGACGACTGCTACTACTACCACTGCTGCTACTACTGCTACTACTGCTACTACTGCTACTACTACTACTACTACTACTACTACTACGACTACTACTACTACTACAGGTACTTCTAACACTACTCGAACTACGATCGACACTGCCACCGCCACCGTCACTACCATTACTACAAGCACTACCAAAGTGCTTTCAAAACGCATAAAGATATGTCAGTGTTTATGTTGCGTCCTTTTTCTTCTGGGCGGGAATGCAAACCTTTAACATTGTCCGAATAGTTCCAAGTATTATTTGGGAAGCCAGCGCTGGCCACAATAACACGTCCGCGCGACGGGCCACGCAAACACCCAAAAGGCCACACGCATACACACACAGACACACACACACACACACACGCGGTTGCGGCCCTTCGGGGGGATGTCAGGAGTCCCCCTTTGCCCTATGGCCTTCCGTGACAGGGGATGAACAAATTTTTTGGGGGTCCCGCCCCCCCCCCCCGTCAGAAAAAAATGGGACAAAGGTTCCCACGAGGTGGTTCCGGACTGCCTCTCCATCTCTCCTGCCCGTTCCACTGCCGCGATGGATCTTGACTCTGATATTCCCGCAGGAAAAACACGAGGCGTGTAATCCTTACGAGAAATAGCACGAGACTGACCGTCGTCCGTACCATGCAGATCATCTCCCCCGAAGGCCCAGATCCTTGGCCCACATCTCGCCACAGTAAACGGCCCGTACTGACTCTCTACCATGAGTGCAGCTCCCACCGCTCCTATATCCTGCATGCGCTTCGTGCGCGTATACTCCACGCCGCTTCCCTGGAGTTTGCTTGCTCAATCACCACTTACTCGCAACCTTACTCCATACGTCCACTTTCATGTCACCGAACCGCTACGTCCAGCTACCCCCCGGACCTAACTCCGGATGCGTTCCGACCATGATTCCAAAGCGAATCCTCCAGCCGTAGCGACGAGGGCAGCGGGATGCCCGAAAAGGCGAAAACCATAGAAGGGCCCCGACATCCTATGTCGTGATTTTTCCAGCTTCCCTGGAAATTCCGACCCTGCCCCCAGGGATAGCGCCTCGTCCTGCGCTTTTGCACCGACCCAGCGGCCTGATGAGGGCCGCCTGGCGCCGAGAATGCCAAACCACAATTCGATATTTCCAGAAGCATCCTAAATGGGGTCGGAGTAATCCACGATGATGATTAATAAACAATTGGAGAGAACGATTAAAACATAGTTTTCTGCTATTTCTGCATAATTTTCTGACTGGAGGAGAACGATAAAAAATAGTTTTCCAGCCCGCGGCCGGCTTTTTCTAATCATCATCCAGGGCGCCGCCGCGTGAACACGACCCCCGGTCATTTATTAATCGTCATCCTCCATTAGATGCGGTCGGAGGATCGCGCCGCATCGCCTATCGGCACTGCATCTGCGATGCATCGCCGCCGTCGGCATGGCGAGAATCGGGATCCGCATTGAGCCGCATCGCCGATGCACCGGCAATGCCGCACGATCCCCCGACCCCATCTCCTCGGATTCGTCGGGGAGGCTTAGAATGTCAGAGATCTGGGCATGCTTGTCTTCCCCGAGTGCCCTTCCGGGAACGCTGGACTTGGGGGACAGGCCTTCGCGAACTGACATTTGGACGCCCGAAATGGGCACGGAGAAAAGTGGGCACAATGCCCAACAACAAATGTTGTTCAAAACCGACAGCGGCCGCTGTTGGGCAGGCGGTTCTGTCTTCACTGGACAACGTCCGCGGCAGCGCGGACAGCGAGTCCTGTTCGAAATGAACAGGAACTGCTGTTGGGCATTGTACCCATTTTTTTCCGTGCCCATTTCGCTCGTGCCGATGACAGGCGGCCTCTCTCTCTGCAGCGGCGGCCGGGGGCGCGGCCAGGGACGCCGTCGCGCTGGCACAGGCGCGCGCCCATCGCCTTGATCTCGTCCTGGGGAGGCGGGGCCGCCCACAACATCCTCGGGTAGGCACGAAATCCACGACGACTGACGTTTGCCATGCAGTTGGCGACATCAAGGGGCCCTGACAGGGCCTTGCTGGGACTCAACACGAAAAGCCGATGCCGGGGGTAAACATCTAAATCTCGGGAACTCACGCTTTCGGAAGAAAAACGAGGAGGGTCTGGGGCGAACGAGAGATCAGAGGATAATGACATACTGATACCGATATCCTTTCCTCGTTCTCGTTTTTCTGTGGCCTCGTGGAGGCCTCCGTCGACACTGCTGGATTCGCATCGGGATCCTGGTCAGAAGCCAATGTGGGAGAGGTCTGGAGTAGCGGCATCGGTATATGTTTGCCCTCGGCCAAGCGTGAAACCCGATTGTCAAAACAAAAAAAGCTTGATCCATGCAGCGAAACCTATGCCTCAGGAGAGAGAAACAAGGCGGGACTGAGAAACCTATGCCTCAGCGAGGGACCGAGAGGGAGACAATGAGAGAGAAGGAGACACAGAGAGATGGAGTTAGAGAGAGACCGTGACCACTTGTGAAACTATAGCCTGGGCAGGGAAGGGGGATCGAAGCATACTTACACCTATCTGTAAAGAGACGGAGCTAGACAACGAGACATAGTGAGTGCGTGTGTGCGTGTTGCAAAGGAACGCCCGCACGAAACCCACCACCCCGAATGGATTGTTGAGGGTGGGATGCGCTGGTGCGCGCTCGCGATGCTCGTGTCCCGGCCTCCCACCCTGGCTCGGATTCGCCCGATAGCGTGCTCCGTCCTCGCCGCCAGCCCCACGCCTACGCCGCCCCCTCAAAGAGGGGGAACGTGACATTCGTCGCGCTTCCCCGCGGAGGCATCGCTGCGCAACTGGAGCCGAACGGTAACGACAACTAATGACGCACGACTGACGACTAACGACAAAGGACGGACGACGTCCGACGAACGTCGACGACGAGCGACGAACGACAAATGGTGACCAGGACGGCGACTGTCGACGAACGGCGAATGACGACGAATTACGGCCGACGAGCGACGAACGTCGAACGACGCCGCACATGCGGGCGCATCGCACCGCGACCACCGCGCGGAAGGTAGGTGGGGGGCCTGCGTGAAAAATTGGGGGCTTTCTCGGGAACTCTCAGGCCGCGTCAGGATTCCTCGGACGCGGGCTCACGCGCCGCATCGGTGGCGATGTTGGCGCGCGATCTTCGCATGGGGGTCGGCCCGCGGCGCCAAGCAGCTCCCTCGCGCGACTGTGTAGCGCTCGCGCCCGCAGGGAAGGACTCGCGCGTGGCATCGGCGGCAGATGCAGAAACCGAGCTCTCGCGCTAGTGTTGGCGCGCTGCGCCAGGCAGACTCCTCGCGCGACTGAGCAGCGCCCGAACGCGCTCCTCGTCCTCCTCGTCCTCCTCCTCCTCCTCCTCCTCGTCCTCCTCGTCCTCCTCGTCCTCCTCCTCCTCCTCCTCCTCGTCCTCCTCGTCCTCCTCGTCCTCCTCCTCCTCCTCCTCCTCCTCCTCCTCCTCCTCCTCCTCCTCGGACGAGGACTCGCGCGTCGCGTCGCCAACGGTCTCAAGCACACGATTGTCGCGTGGGGGTCGGCGCGCGGCGCCACACAGCCTGCCCGCGCGACTGAAAAGGCGCTCGCGCGCACGAGGAAAGACTCGCGCACCGCGCCAGAGACTCGCGCTCGGAACGAGAAAAGACTCGCGCTCGGAACGAGAGAAGAGACTCGCGCACCGCGCACGAGAAAAGACTCGCGCTCGGAACGCAGGCTCACGCGCGGGGATCGGCGCGCGGCGCTGTGCAGCTCCCTCGCGCGAGGTGGCAGCGCCCACGCGCGCGGGGGAAGGGCTCGCGCGTCGCGCCGGCGGAAGGATCCGGCGGCGCCGTGGTCTCGGTCCACGACAGCGACGGCGCCTCGCTGCGCGACTGGGCACGCGCGCGCGCGCGAATTCTCTGGGGATGCGCAGCAAACGCAAACGCGCCGCGCGTGCGGAAGCATCGCTACGCAACCACCGCGCAGGGGGATGGTGGGGGACAGTGAAAAATGAACTGCTTTCTCGGGAGGCCGCGTCGACTGGGACTTCCCGGGAGCATTCTGTGGCTTCCTGGGGGCTCCTGTGGCTCACCGAGAGCTATCAGGAGCCTCCTCCGGGGCCTCCTAAAGTCTCTTGATGCTTCCTGGGGCCTCATAAGCCTCCTGAAAGCCTTCTGGAACTCCCCGAACGTTTGGGAGCGCCGGGGGCCGTCTGGGAGCGCCTGCGCTCCTGGGAGGAGCGCCTGGGAGCGCTCGGGATCGCAAGGGAGCCTCTGAGAGCGTTTGGGAGCGCTTTGGGGGCGCCTCTGGAGCGTGGGAGCGTCTGGGAGCACCTGGGGCCGCTTGGGGAGCACCTGCGGCTGCTCGGGAGCGCTTGGGCGCGCCTGGAGCGCCTGGGAGCGCCTGGGAGCGCCTGGGGACTCTTGGGGGCGCTTGCTTGCCAACGCGGTGCACCGCCTGAGGAATAAAAGTAAGAGTAAGAATCAAGGTCCCGGGACGGATGTCCAAACGAAACGGCGACAAGCGGAGCCCTTCTTATGCTGTGGAGGCCTGCTGGGTCTGACTGTAGATCTTGGGTTACGTGGGTTCACGAATTCAGCAAGCTGTCCACCTCTGGCCGGGGTGGCCTTACGAGCACGCTTCTTCCCTAACCCCAAGAGCTGCTGATCAACAAACGTGCCACACACTGCACAAAACCACACATCAACAGACTGGCTATATCGCTTCTTGTGAGACGCGTGCGCCCACCCCTCAGCGACGTGCAACTCCGCCCACTGGGGAGGGGCCCTCAACGCCCCGTTTAACGCCACTAGATTGCTACACGGCGAGGCCCGCCACTTGCGAGCTTCCGCGATCGACGCAGAGCTGCGACAGCGACGGCACCGACGCCCCGAATCGTCGAGCAAACGACAACTGGTCAGGATTGGCAGGGCACGGGGGCGCGGCGGAGGCCAGGACGGCCTGGCGGAAACCGATGGAGGCAGCGGAGGAGGAGGAGCGAGAGGAGACTGGCGACTCTCATTTAGCACTTGGACGTCATCTCTTTTGGCTTTGGTCGCCCGCACTATTTCTTTCTCGGCCTCCATGGCATCAGCTGCCGCGCGTATCAGCCTCAGACAAACAGGGAAGGCCCGCCTTTCCACCTGAGCAACTCGGGCCCGCTCGTGGATGGGGAGCCTGGCCATCTCCGCCGCCTGGCCCGCAGCAGAGTCGGCCATGGCATTTCCATCCACAAGCCAGCCTGACACGTGGGCCTCTGCTGCCTGCATTTTCGTAATGTGCGAATTAACAAGCAAGACAACGACATGCTCCGCTGGCTGTCCGACCAGCCCCTTGCCTATCAAGGCCCACAACTCGGTGCAGGCTCCGCTTGCAGGCTTCTGATCAATACGATCGCACCAAGCATCATAGACCATCTGATTACCAAAGACATATACAATGTGAGCGACGGTTAGACGCAACACCAACCACAACGTGTACAGCTCACATTGTGGGACCGTCTGGCTCCCAGGCTGCGGTCCCATCACAACTCCATGGATACTGAGGTCACTCTCGCTCTCCACCGTAACCAAGCCACACCCGACTCGACGGAATCGTGGGTCCCTCGCGACGGGACCTCCAGATGCGTCGCCGAACGCGTCCACTGGCTGGCTCGAGGATCCTGGCCCAACGCTCCGTCAATCTTGTTTTTGCGGAAGACGCGCTGCCGAGCCACGACTCGACCTCGCCCGGTGCCGTGACATCGGTCCAGGCTCTCGGGATGAGGCCTCGCAACCAGAAGGCCTGGTCAAATTCGTGTTGCGCAGCGGCTGCAGGTGCCAGTTCGCCGGGTCGCCCGCAGGCCTCGGCTTCGACGTCCTTGGCACACGCCCAGTTCCGATGGTACGCGGTTTCCCCATGCTCACCACATCTTGGACACGTCGTAAAGAGTGGCAGCTTGTTGGTAGCGGCTGCCCTGTGCTGCCGTGGCCATGCGCCGCCAGCACGGATGGAAACCATGACCTCGGATAGCCGCCGATCACGAGGAGAGGCCAGTGCAGTGAACAGTTGACCACCTCATCCTGCAGCCCGCTGCCACAGATGTGCCCCGCGGCCGCAGAGATGGGCCTGGGCGCTCCTGGAGCGGCTGGAAGGGCATGGGCACATCTCAAGCGTCTGGGAGCCGCCTGGGCCTGCGGAGCTGGACGGGAGCGTTCGGGCGTTCCTGTGGCGTCTGGGAGCGCTGAAGAGCGCCTGGGGACGTCAGGGGCGCAAATCATATGGCATTATCAAAGGGATCGCGGCCTCGGTGGCGCCGATCGTTTAACTCTTGGATGAAATTCTGGTCAGGCGCAGCTCGCTCTCTGGAACCTCCAATGATTGAGTTTCAGCTTGTGGTGCCGGCGGGCGATTTCGAAGACCCCCTGCGACCAAGGTTATACCCAGAGAGGGAAATATAAACACTGCAACTCGCAATGTGAGGAAGGCGTGGCCAGCCTTCCGCACCGCTCGGGGGCGGGCAAGCCAACTTTCGCCTGCCGACGTAGTGCATATGGAACCCCGCTGAGCGTTCCGACCACTAGTCGCTCGCTGCCTGACGACTGTCGAGACCGAGGCTCGCTGTGGAGAGGGAGACGGAGAGAGAGAGACAGAGAGAGAGAGAGAGCGGAAGGGACAGACATAACCAGAATAACGGAAACGGCCGGGAACAAGAGCAACCAAGCGCAAGAGTGGATGGGGAGCAATGGAGGCAGAATATCACTAGCGACAAGAAGGCGTTTCTTTATGTTCGGCGATGACGGGCGTCATGGGGGGGGCGGGGGGGGCGGGGGGGGTATGACGTGACGCCCCCCCCCGCCGTGTGGCTCCGGCACCACAGCCGCGCCCGCGCGCACGACGCGACGAGCGACGAGCGATGAGCGACGACGACGACGCGAGCACCATGTAAGTGGCGATCTGCCCATTGCGCC